AAACAGCATTGGGACTACCTGATAAGGAATTCAATGGAATTACATTTAGGTACCTTCAATGTATTAAGAGACAGATCAAGAAAAACACTGACAAAATTAAGGAATTACAGGTAAAACTCCAGAAGAATCTAGGAAAACAATGCAAGAACAAACTGACAAAGTAAATGAAAAATTAGAAACCATATAAAAACAGAAGGTAGAAATCCAAAAAGTTAAGATTTCAGAAATAGATAACACATTGAAAGAGTAAAGGAGTAGAAGTGAATCAATGGGAAACAGAATTAGTGACATTGAAGATAAATCTCTCAATACTGTTTTGTTAAGGTAGCAATCAGAAAATAGAAAAAAAAAAAAAATGAAGAAAGCCTGAGGTTTATGTGGGACACCATCATGAGGAATAAATTACATGTGATTGGAATTTCAGAACAGGCAGAGATAAATAAAATGACAGAGAAAATTTTTGAAGATCTGTTGGAGAAAAACTTTCCTAATATGATGAAAGATGAGAAGACATGCTTTCAAGAAGTTCAACAACTATAAACTTTCACCCAAATCACAATAAAAATTTTTAAAAAAGAAAAGTTCAATGAACCCCAAACAGAGAAATTTTCCCCAAAAAAATCACCAAGACATATCATAATCAAATTTTCCAAAACTGAAGACAAAGAAAGATCCTGAAAGTAGCCTGGGAAAAATGAAAAGTTACATACAAAGGCCAACTAGTAAGACAAAGCTCTAATTTCTAGACAGAAACCATGCAGACAAGAAGGCAATGGAATGACATATATAAACCCCTGAAAGAAAAAAATTGCCAACAAAGAATTATTTACCGAGCAAAATTGTTCCTCGAGTATGATGGTGAAATTAGGATACCCCCAGATAAACAGAAATTAAGGGAACTTGTAAAAAGTAGGCTAACCTTACAATAGATGGTAAATTGAGTCCTTTGGACAGAGAACCAACAAGAGCAGACACACATGATTAACACACATGACAATATCAACCAGAAACCAAAGAAGTAACCAGAGTCAAATAAACCTACAAGACTGAAAACAGGGAACCAGAGACATCAATTTGTAAATGAGGACAACTACGAAGTGAAAAGAGGGAATAGATAGTGTAGTTACAGAACTTCCAAATGGAGAGGAAGTCAAGACATTTCAAGATAGAATGGACTGTTTTAAACTTGGGAAGAAAATAATAAATTATAGGGTAGCCTCAAAGAAATTAATAAACCATCTCAATAAAAATAAAAAAGATGAAAGTCATAAATATTTAACAAACACTGTAAGAATAGCAATGAAGGACATAATTTTTAAAATTCATAAACAAAATAAGCTCAGTGCAGAAAACTATATGGAACAAAGAAATCAGCAGCACAATAAAAAACACATAACAAAATGACAACATTAAACTCATATGACAATTACACTGAATGTAAATGGATTAAATGCACCAATCGAGAGACAGAGAGTTACAGAATGGATAAGAAAACATGACCCATCTATACGTTCTCTACAAGAGACACATCTTAGACACAAAGACAAAAATAGACTAAAAAGAAAAGGGGGAAAGATATATCAAGCAATGATAATCAAAAAGGGAAGTAGTGGCAATATTAATTTATGATAAAATAGACTTTAAGACAAAAGCCACCATGAGAGACAAGAAAAGACATTCTATAATGATTAAAGGATCAACTGAACAAGAAGACATAACTATAATAACTATCTATGCACCCAATGAAAGACCCCCAACATACTTAAGTCAAACTTTAACAGAATTGAAAGGAGAAATAGACAATTCCACAATAATAGTAGAAGACTTTAATACAATATTTTCAATGAAGTATAGAACAACTAGAAAAAAACTCAGTAAATATTCAAAAGAACTAAACAATGCAATCAACCAACTTGACCTTATAGACGTATACAGAATACTTCACCCAACAACAGCATAATATACATTCTCTTCCAGTGCACCTGGAACATTCTCCAGAAATGTTCTTTTTGACAATGAATGTGGCATCATTCCTCTTCAATTGGTCATTCCTGCCATAGTAGGCCGTATGATTGTCCAATTCAAAATGGCCAATGCCAGTCCATTGAAGCCTAGGATATCAATCTTCATGTGTGCCATTTCTTTTCTGATGACTTTTAATTTTCCTAGATTCATACTTCATTACATTCCACATTCTGATTATTGATGGATGTTTGCAGCTGTTTCTTCTTATTTTGAATTGTGCCACATCAGGAAATGAAAATCCTGAAAGCTTTATTCCATCCACGTCATTAAGGTCAACTCTACTTTGAGGAAGCAGTTCTTCCCCAGCTGCATTTTGAGTGCCTTCCTACCTGAGGGGCTCAGCTTCTGGCACTCTATCAGACAATGTTTCACTGCTATTCATAAAGTTTTCAGTGGTCAATTTTCCCAGAAGTAGACTTCCATGTCCTTCTTCCTAGTTGGTCTTGTCTAGAAGGTCTACTGAAAACTGTCCACCATGGATGACCCTGCTGGTATTTGAAATGCCAGTGGCATAGCTTCCAGCATCACAGCAACAAGCAAACCACCACAGTATGACAAACTGACAGATGAGCAGTGGGAGATACAGTAGGCCTTCAAAACAATAATAAAAATTAAAATTAAACTCATTGCTGTTGAGTCAATTCCAACTCATGGTGACCACCTCTGAGAGGAGGTACAGGTAGAGTAGAACTGCTCCATGAGGTTTTCTTGGCTGAAATCTTCATGGTAGCAGATCATCAGGATTTTCTTCCATGGTGCTGCTGGCTGGGTTTGAACTGCCTACCTTCAGGTTAGTAGACAAGGGCAAATCATTTGTGTCACTCAGGATAGAAATCAATAAATATAATGATTGATCAATCCATAAAGAGACACAATGAAGGGGAAAGAAGTGGTTATTTGTTGATGTGCAGGACCTGATGAGGTGGTGGCTTGGGTGCAGGTGGGTGGGGTCTGATGATGAGGGTGTGGCTAACAGTTGAGGGTGGGGCTAAGACTAGGATGGCCTACCTGATAGATGAGTAGACTCTAAAGACCAGGGCCATGGACATACAAAACGTGAATGAGGTCCTTAGAAAAGAGATCCAGACAACAGATAAGGAGCAGAGTTTAAAGGTGAGGGGAGGGCATTGGAAATAAATTGGGTGGTCCTAGAAATGAGAGATCAGGGTCATCTGGGCCAAGCCCCCCTTCTTCCTAAGTATCAGTAGTGGGGGTGGGAGTGAGAAGGCACCCCCTGAGCATCTCCATGTTCTTCTTTCCCCCCAATCAGGTAGAGAAGGCAGCCATAAAGATTCAGTCATGGTGGCGTGGCAACATGGTGCGCCAAACATTACTGCATGCAGCACTCAGGGCCTGGGTCATCCAGTGCTGGTGGAGGTCGATACAGGCCAAGATGCTGGAGCAGAGACGGCGCCTGGCGCTGAGACTCTACACCTGCCAGGAGTGGGCAGTGGTGAAAGTGCAAGCACAGGTTCGAATGTGGCAGGCCCGCAGATGGTTCCTCCAGGCACGCCAGGCAGCCTGCATCATCCAGTCTCACTGGCGCTGGCATGCCAGCCAAACTCGAGGCCTGATCCGGGGCTGCTATGAGGTCAGAGCCAGCCGGCTGGAGCTTGACATCGAAATCCTCATGACCTATGGTCCTGGCAGAGCCAAGAAGACTCTATCTCTTGCCCAATAAAGACATTTACTGGCCACAGACTTGCATGTTGGAGAATAGACCTATGGAAGAGAGCTCAGCCCCTAAAGTTCTTGTCTCCCAACCAAATAAAGATCCCCAAATGTGGTCTATAGCCTCCATACCCAGGGATCTACCCTAGGCTCCTGCTCCTGATGGAAAATCTTAACTATCTCGGGTCCAAAAAAGAACCCAGGGCCCAGGCTAGGCTCAGATGCCTCAGCTAGTCTGACCCTAGTCCCCTCCACAAGTCAGGATAGGAATTGGGCTTTATTTTCCTGCAGCTTCTGCCTGGGCTTCTCCACTCAGGGCAGGACACAAGGGAGTCTGTCTGCAGCCAAACCCAGCTGAGAAGGCCAGGATTCCACAGGCCTGTGCTTGGCAGGGCCCTTGGGGCCAGCTGAAGCACTCAACAGGGAAGCCAGAAGGACAGGGCACCTCAGCTGAGCAACAGCAGGACAGGCATTGTGCCTCGTAGCAGGGCAGCCAGCCAGAGCAAGCCCCTGGGAGAAGCCAGGACAGGAGCTGAGGGGCAGCAGCTGTGCCTGCTGCTTCCCTTCCCTGGGGCTGAGCAGCAGGGCTTCCTTCCCCTGTGCTGGCTAGTTCCTTGGTGAACAAGGCAGGGGTGGGGGATGGGAGAGAGCCCAGGGAGGGATAGGGACAAGTGGGAGGGAGGACATGCACTTGGAAGTGTAACCTCTAAATCCTCCCACATCCTGAGAAGGAGCTATTCTGCAAACCCATTGCCCAAGACCCTCTTTTCTGTCCTCCCCACAGGCTGCCCCACCCACTGCTGAGCCTGCCCCATGGGTGGGTGCTGATGAGTCTCTGCTCTTCTGAATCTCCCTCTGCCTCTGCGTCTATGCCTTAACCATCTCCGTACCAGGTCTCTCAAAATCTCTCCTTTGTCATTCATGCCCAAGGGTCCTCATTTCCACAGTGTCCCTCAGATGTTTGTCTCTGAACCTCCATTCCAGAGGTCTGTAGCCCTCCCCAGGGGCTGGTAATGGTGGAATCTGCACAACAGTGGGAGAACCAGTTGGGGAAGTGTGTGGAGGTCCATGGGTCTGTCTCACAGCTCAGTAAGGGTTTTTTACCAACCCCTTCCATGTGTTGGGGGTGGGGAGGAAAGTGTCTCCAGAATTGCTGTGACAGGTGTGAGGTCCAGAGTTCAGTCCAAAATCCATCACCTCCAGTAGCTGTAGGTTGCACTAACGTAGTCAGGTACATGGCCATTTTGATTGGACTCTGCTCTTGAGGTCTCCATAAGTCAGGATCAACTTGACAGCAACTAACAACCTAACAACAATTGCTCTTCCAAGACACCCCCTTCAGTAACTTTGGACACAGCTCCCCTCTCTTCTTCTCTGAGCAGCAGAAAGACAAACACTTCCCATGGCTGGTGGGGACTGGTAGGACTTGCAAGCTGAACATGACTGGAATAATACATGACTAGCCGTACAGCCACCACTCCAACAGTGAGAGGCATTTATAACCTAAACTAGAAGGGGTGAAGTCTCTGGTTCTCAATATACAAAGGACATAAGAATCACCTGGGAAACTTTAAAAAACACCAATACCTGAGCCCACCCCAGAGATTCTAATTTAATTGGGCTGGGGTGAGATCTGGGCATCGGTATTCCAAGGCTTAGGAACCCTTCTTTTTAACCCTTCCTAACCCAAGTTATGGGAGCTCTGGTAGCATAGTGCCTAAGGCACTTGACAGCTAACCAGAAGGCTGGCAGTTCAAACCCACCAGCCACTCCTTGGAAGGAAGATGGAGCAATCTACTTCTGAAGTGATACTGCCTCGGAAACCCAAGGAGGGGTCACTATGAGTTGGGTCCGACTCAATGGCACAAAACAACAACACAACAAAAACCCAAGTTGTAAGGAACTCTGGTGGTGTAGTGGTTAAGGCATTTGGCTGCTATCCATAAAGGTTGGTGGTTTGAACCTACCAGCTGCTCTGTGGAAGAAAGGTGATGCAGTCTGCTTCTGCAAAGATGCATAGCCTATGCATCCTAATGGAGGTTGTTATGAGTCAGATTCAATGGCAGTGAGTTTTTTGTTTGTTTGTTTTTGTTAACCCAGGTTATAAGGAGTCCTGGTAAATTACTCAGCTGCTAACTGAAAGGTTGGCAGTTTTAACTTACCCAGTGGTCTCACGAGAAAAATACCTGGTGATCTGCTTCTGTAAAAATTACAGCCAAGAAAAGGGCACTTCTACTGTCACATGGGATTGCTATAAGTCAAAATCAATGTGACAGCACCCAACAACAGCAGCTCAGATTACTGACCCCCAAAGACACCTGTGCAGTACCCCCTGAGGATGGTCATGTGCAGAATTCCAAGCTGAACACTTAGTAGGCTTAAGGTCATTATTACTAGAGGTAGAGTTGCTTTGGGTCAAAACTTTTGGAAGCAGGAAGACAGTCTGTCTGGTGGATGGGAGCAGAAAGTAAGTGGGGCTTCTTTTTTTTTTTTTTTGGGTGAAAGTTTACAGAGCAAATTCACTTTCCATACAGCAGTTCACATACACTTTGCCTCATGACATTGACAATTCACAATGCAACAGCTTCCCTCCCACTTCCTCCCAACAGTCACCTCTTCCCTGTGTCCTTCCCTCCATGCACTCCTGCCCCCTGAGCTGTCTCCCTGTACATAAACAGCCCTTCTTTCTCCCATGATTGTTCTCTCCAAGGAGTGTATCTACCTCAGGTACATGTTGAACTCATATGCCTGTCATTTGCTTGGCTGGAAGCCACAGGTGTGGGTTCAATTCCAGACCTGAAGGGCAGCTAGAGGCCATAGTCTCAGTGGTTCCACCAGGCTCTATCAGATCAGCAAACCTGGTCCCCCCCCCTTTATTTATTTATTTTTTTCCAAATGATTTTGAGTTTTGTTCCACATTGTTCTCCCTCTCTATCCAGAGTCTCCTACATAGATCCCCCTCCAAGTGGTTGACAGTGGTAGCCGGGCACCATCTAGTTCTTCTGGTCTCATAGTAGTATAGGCTGAGGATCGCATGGTGTACTGGTCATGAGGACTAATTGTTTGCATGAATCTTTGGTTTTCTTCATTCGTCTTTGCTCTGGACAAGAAGAGACACATCGTTGCATCTAGATGGCTGCCTGCAAGCTCTTAAGTTCCCAAGCGCTACTCGCCAAAGTAGAAGGTGGAACAATGTTTTGTGTAGTATGTTATGCCAGTTGAGCTTTATGTCCCCTGTGACTATGGTCCCAAGCCCACAGGTTCAACTACTTGGTCCCTCTGGGTAGCTGGCTGTGACCAAGAAGTGACTACAACCTTGTCCTTTGTCAACTCTACTATACACCTAGAAATTCAGATCATACAAGTACACTTATAGGACCATTGTCTGCCAACCCTAATGGTCTTGGGTACATTCCCCACTTCATAGACATACCTATTAGTTCAGCCTGTCCACCCATCTATCCACCCGTATACCCTTGTTTGCCTTCACTGACAATGCAGTACTGTGTGTACAAAAGGGTTCATCTTTGTTGTCTGTACCTCCAGTGTACCTCTCTATGTCTTCCTCTTCCTCAATGTCACCATGTTGATCACTCACATTTGGTACATTGCCCTTCTCTCCACCCAAATCAATACTTATCTCTACCTATCTAACAGTGTTCCCTCCCCTCCTCTCCCACCCCTGGTAACTAACAGAGAAAATTTCCTTCCATAGATAAACCTTTCCTTGACTTTTACAATAACGGACTTATACAATATTTGTCCTTCTGAGATTGACTTATTTCTATCAGCATAATGTTCTCTAAGTTTATCCACGTTATGCAGTGTTCTGCAGATTCTAGGTTATTCTTTAGGGTTGCTCAGTATCCTATTGTGTGTATGTATCAAAGTTTTATTATCCATTCCTCAGTTG